CCAATAAGAATCTTCCCCGCTACATACACCTCTGACTACTACATGGGGCCAGCCCAGCACCCCGTCTAGTGCATCAGGCTTCCAGTGTATAGAAGAGGCTTTATTGGCGCTCTGTTTTCATCTCCGCCCCTGCTAGGCAGTATATGGACGTGTTTATCATTTACCAAGTGCCAGAAGGTACTAGGGATACAATGGTGAGGAAAACTAGCATAATCCCTGCCTTCATGGGGCTTACAGTCTATAGTTTAATGGGCTTAACGACAATATCACAAAGTTAAATTGCAGCTGGGATGAGATACAAAGCGTAAGTTCACAGTGCTGTGCACATGCTTAACTGGGGGAGTCAGTGGCCAGATGTAACATGGACTCTGTTATAGTATCTCCTGAACAAAACTGCTGTAAAAATTGAATGAAAAAAAAGGTCAGAACTCAGTAAATGGTAGACGTGACTAAGCTGGAAAATGATCGGTGCTGACGAGAGACGTGCACGTAGGCGCAGTGGGAGTGCAGAGGTGAAAATGAGCTTGAGAACTGTTGCCTTGAGTAGCACTCCCCCCCTAAAGTATTCTTTACATAATCAATAGGTGTGGAAAGCTCCACCGTCGTGGTTTTACTGTGATCTGTTACAAAAGACAGTGCTTTCCATTTGAGTGCATAGAATTTCAGCAAGAACAAGAAAAACATGGAGAGAGAAAGAAATAAGAAAAAAAAACAAAAACAAAACAGTGCACCAGACCAGGGTTTCCCAAGACTCCTTGAGAACTGCAGACATTGCCTCTGGCTGCCAAGCTGCAGTGGTGGGAGAGAGCCTGGCTTATCATCTTATGAAATTTAATTAGTCACAAACACATTTGTTCCCAGCCCAAATAGGAAGCTAGTCTGCATCCCGGCTTAGTATGTAGTGGGCGGCAGTTTGATGATTTGAGCCTGCAGATGAGAGTCCAAGGCTGGGGCCAAGACTGTGAGTTCTGGTCCGGGTTTCCCCGGGGACGGGCAAGTCGGGTCCATCTTCCCCTCTCAGCTCCTTCACTCGCTGGGGTTCTGGCGAAAGTGCGGGGAACTGGGAGCTTTCTCAGCTTCAGCTCCAATCGACACGTGCTCAGTGGGCACCTACAGGGCACCCAGGCACATGCTAGGTCCTCTGGGCAATCCTTGCAGGTTCAAACAAGAAGTACACTGCACAGCAAAGGCAATAAAATGAAAAGGCCACCTACAGAACGGGAGAAAAGTTTTGCAAATCATATTTGAAAGGAATTAATATCCAAAATATAGGAAGAACTCATATGACCCAACAGCTAAAATACAAACAATCGGGTTTAAAGAATGGGCAGAGAAGCTGAATAGACTTTTTCCGAGGAAGATGTACCCATGGCCAACAGGTACATGGAAAGATGTCCA